CCCCATCGCTTCCAGACAGATGCTGGCCCTCTTTGCGAAACACCACAAGGGCAGCTGGGAAAGCCACGGCCAACACCAAGGGTAGCACGTGAGGATACAGCCGGCCGGGCGAGGATACAACCCCGCAACCCCAGCCAAAACCAGGGGCTTGGAAGTGCTGTGGGATGAAGCAGAGCAGCACGAAGGCAGACTCGCTCTGCCAGGAGAGGAAAGAGCAGCCAAACATAAAGCAAAATTAAAGTTTAGGGAACTTCAGGCACGAAATGTGTTCACCGGGTGTCTCCCAAGCATTTAGTTGAAGCCTGAATGGTGGGTGCTTCTGCCTGCCCCACCTGGAGCCAGGGATACCGTCCAGCCCTGGGGGGGTGCAAAAAGCCCCGTGGTTGTTTCCCCACCCTGGGACAGCCTGCCTGGCACAGCCATCATGGTGGGGTCTCACTGGGATGGTGGTGGCAGCCAGAAGCCCAACTGGTGTCCCTGGTTGGCAAGAGGGCTGCAGAAGCACCCCTCGCAGCAGTGGCTCTGGGGTGAATCACAGCTAGGTGAGGGTCAAGAAACAAAAGCAGCAGTTTAACACGCTGTGGGGACAGGGCATGGGTATTGAGATCCCCTGAGCAGCCCTGCAGGGCGTTGCAACCTCACTCATAACTGCCAAGGCTGCCCAGGATCGCTCTGCACCAGTTCATGCAGTAAATACCCGGGATGCAGCCTTCCCAGTGGCCCCTGCCGAGCACCCTTGAAAGCTGGGGAGTAAAGCCTAATTCATCCCCGCTGCTTCTCCCAAAACCGCACCTCTCAGCCCTGCTGACCTGCTCCGAACCCCAGCTGCGACCACCCCAAGACGCCTTTGTCGTCGGGAAACGCAGCATTTCTAAAGGCAGCCGGATCCCTGCAGGTGTTCTCGGCAGCGCAGCCAGCGGTGAGAGGGCTGGGACAAGGGGTAGCACGGCCGGAAAACCCACGTTGCACAACAAACATTGCGATGGCGGGAGAGGGGGTAAATGGGACGCTGCGGGCTGGCTGCGTCTCCTACAGCGCGTGGGTTTGCAGGGGAACCAGAGAGGAGGAAAGCTTGCAGCGACGGGCGAACAGCAGCGATTTAAACCGCAGGTCCCTGACCCGCACCGGAGTAAATCGGAGCAGCGACAGCACCTGCAGGACCCCCGGCTACGGCTCTCCCCCTGCCAAGGAGGTCGTGTCCCTCCAACGCAGCTGAGACGTGGCTAACCGAAGCGATGCTTGCACAGATTTCGGAGAGGGCTTTCCAGATGCTCAGCCCCTGCTGGCTTCCTCTCCTGCTCTACTTGCAGAGGAACCCTGGATGTTTAGAGCATGTGCTTCGAGCCCGCGGGGAGCAGAGATGCTTCCCAGAGAGCCTGCAAACACCGGCCGCCACTAAGTGACGTTTTCCCAGACGGCCACGACTCTTCCCTCCCTCTCGTGCTCCTGCTTCGCCTCTCAGCCAGTCTCCAGCATCAGCACGGGTGCCAGAGGCCGGCGTTTCACAACGCTGCCGTGCAGCGGTTCCCGGGCCGGGAAATAACACATTCCGTGTTTGGGACAGCGGGGACTTTTTTTTGCTTTTGAGTATCACCGCCTATTCGGGGAAGCGGAGGAGAGCTGGGAAAGGCTCCTCCCGCCTTGCTCACCCTCGTCCCGCAGTCCCACCCTAAACAACCGTAACCCTGCCGGCTACTGCTGCCCTCGCCTTGCCTGCTCCCCCGAGCATCTCTGCTCCTCTCCTGACCGATTTGGGAAATTCCCCTCTCTCTGCACAATCTCCTTCCAGTTTCTTCTCCTCTCCCTGGCTCTGAGATGATGGTTTTTTGTTTTTTTTTCTCCTCCCTTTTGGGGATTTTCAGCACTGAGATCATAAATCGAGCCACATGGTGAGGATGCAGAGCATCAGCTGCTCGTGACTACAACCAGATCCCAGCAAGCCTTTTCCTTGGAAAAAGGGAGAGAAGATCCATGGGGTGCTGAGCCAGGCAAGCTATAGACCTTGCTGCGGCGCCGGGGAGTGGAATTACCTGCAACCACCTTCACTAATGTCCGAGGATCTGGCTGCAGGGGGACAAACTGCCCCAGGATGGGGCTGGGGACCCTCCCAAGGAGATTCACTGATTCCCAGCTGACTGGCACCACGACAAGCACCAAAAAACCAAAAACTTCCCCAGCAGCAAATGAAGTGGCGGGGAGTGAATAAACAAAATGAGACTGCTGCAGTCCCGGCGAGCCCACGCGTCTCTCCGGCTGCTCGACTTGGTGCTGCGTAATTTATCTTCCTGCTTTGCAGCAACATCTTTAGAGCGTGCAGGACAGATGACCTGTCCCCCGTCCCTGCGTGCCTATGCTGGGAACACTGGAGAGCTGTTAAAGGCTGGGGGAGAAGGGGCAGAGACACTAAGAGAGGTGAATCACCCAAAGGTTATGGCTGGCTGTGGAGCCTGGGTCCATCTAACGCCCCGTGCTTTGGCCATCCCAGCCCCGAGGGACGAACGCCCCTTCCTGAGCTGCAGGCAGCTGGCAAAAGGCAATTTTACAGGGCGGAAGGGGTAACTTCAGCGTTTTGCCACCCAAACCGGTGCTGAAGCAGGCAGGATAGTCCAGCAACGAACCCTCCACCCCACTCTAAAGTACATCACCCTAGGAAAAAACCAGCAGCAAGTGGGCACGGCAGCCAAGGCATCCCTAGGCCGGATACCTACCCTCCTCGGAGCCATCCAAAGGGAAACCACTCCTGAGAGCGGCAAAAGGAGCGTTCCCAAATGCCACGGCTCAGGCTGTGAGGTGGATTTCTCCCCTGCTGATCGCCCACTCTGCAGCCCCGCAAGCTTGCCCTGTGCTTCACCCCGTGCAGATAAGACAGGAAGAAAACCACAACTATTTGCTAACGTTGGCTGCGGACAACTTGGGGTGAACCCAGGCATTGGGGCTATAAATCCTGCTCCAGACTTATTGCCATAACCTTGGCTGCCCTCCAGCTTCCACCTCCTCTCCTCCCTGGTCCCTCCTCAGGGGACAGTGGCCACCCTGACGCTGTCCCCAGCTCGCTGGGGACCACCAGTGGCTTGGGGCTTTTGCTCTGTATGAGTTTGAGCACACGCGAACCCTTCCCTTGCTGCCCCTCCTCAGCAAGCACTGGCTCCTCCAGCCCATTACTGCAGCGTCTGGTCCACGGGTTTGGCTACACCCAAACTTGGACCATGCGTCGGAGAAGGGACCCTCGACACGGCCGCGCTGCCACAGGTCTCAGCCCTGCGTGGTTTGGGCTGGAGGTGATGTCTAAAATCATCCAGGCCATCCAGCTCCAGGATGGAGAAGGGTCTGCCTGCACCAAACCCCACATTAACACAGGCTCAAGGTCTGCCCTCTTCCTCCTCCTCTTTATCCCCATCTAACTCCCTCATTTCTGCTTCGGACTCGGATCCCATCGGCAGCGGGGGTAAACCAGCCCAGCCTTGCCTGTGACAACCCCCATCGCCTTCGACGCCAGCCTGGGGAAGACACAACCCCCTGTCGAGAGCTTCAAGATCCCTGATTCGACCTAAAAATAACAGCAGGACACCTCGTTCCCCTTCATTTCACCAGCAGCAAAGTCCGCAGGAAGGCTATTTTTAATCTCCTTAGGTCAGGCTTTGTTAATCTAGTAACAGTTTGCTAACGCGGTGGCTTACAAGTTAACTCCTGCGGAGAGCATGCACATCCCTGGGACCTGGCCCCGGCCGGGGTGCAAACACCCCATGCATCGCTGCCGCTGAGTTTTCCGGCCTTTCCTGGGTAATGAACCAGCACAAGCCAATGCATTTCCCTCGTTAGCGACGGCTATGCCAAATGGACTGCACCGACCAGCTACCGTGGGCTCACACGTCCTCGTGCTCACCCAAAACGTGGGTACATATGGTGTTTTATAGGGTCTTTTTCTCCCTCTTTATGGGACACAGCTGCTTGTTTCAAAAAAGGAAGCTCCAGGGATCTTCTCTTCATCAGGGATCTGCTCAATCTTTGGGACAATTGGAAATTTAGGCCTTTTTTTCCCTGCGAACGCCTACAGGTTCTGATTTTCTGGAGGACCCAGGTGCCACCCCGGTGGCCCCCTGTGACGTGGGACGCTGTTTGCTCTCCGCTTGCCACGTAAGGAAACGAGCAGCGCTTCCATTTGCCAAATGTCCATCAATCATTGGACGTGATGTCCTGTTTGCAACGTCTCCCAGCAGAAGGCTGTTATTTTGGTTTGAACGTTACGTGAACACCAGCCTTCTCCTAAAAACTTAGGACGTGGGAAGCACGCGTACGCAAGGAGGAAGCGCGTCAAATGGATTTTATTTTTAAAGGCTGCTTAGCTATAAATATGATTGAAGAAAATAAATATTTGCACAACATTAGTGTGTTTGGACTGGGTTAAAAACTACTTTACATCCCCCTGCTATTTACTGAAGTCTCTGCTGTGCACGTGGGATGGACCCACCCTGCAAGAGTAAGGGCCCAAAAAAAAAACAAAGCCCAAGAGGTACGGCAGAGCAAAAGGCAAGGCAGTTCCATGCTATTGGAAATTACTGTCGCTGTGGGGAAGCTCGTTCAACTCCCCCTGTTTGGATGCAGCGAGGAGCGTGCGGCGACGCGTCGGAGAGGACGACGACTTTGCACAGGCAGGACGGGAGTAAGTTCAGTTGATGTAACCGGGGGTTAATCAGAAACAGCCCCGGATGCTCTCCCTAAGCTGATGCCCCCCAAAGACCTAGCAAAGGAGACTTGGCTCTGATAAAAGCAACTCCCCTGATCGCTAACCACCACAGGAACAGCCTCAATCATTAAACGAGCTCCTCTCAATCATTACCCACCACATCCCCTGCCCTTTGCATCCTCTTCAAATCCTTGTGGGGCTTTCAGGTTTGACGCCTGCACGGCTGCCTCCTGCACGGCATGTTAATTGAGAAGGAAAAGGACATCAGAGCACGAAGCCGGGCCGTTCCCCACGGGATGCGTGTCCGTATACTCACATTCTTTCATCATGCCGATGTCCACGCAGCGCTTCAGCCGACACGCCTGGCAGTGCCGCCGGTTGTCCTTGGTGATTTTGCAGTCACTGTTGAACGGGCACGTGAACATCGCTTTCCTCTTCATGCTTCTCCTGGAGAGGAACGGGGGAAAAAAAATGGCTTGGGTCAAATCAGCACCGTTTTGACTGTGCAAGGGGCTGCTCTAAACATCGGGAGGAGATGCAAGCACAAATCCAGCTCTCCGGACGGGAAACTGCTGGAGAGAGATTGCTAAGAGGATGCTGGAAGCATCTCTGACCTGGCTCTGTTCAGCTCAGCCGTTGGAGAGGCTGTACCTGGTTGGGGGCATCTATGGGTTTGATCTGAGAGGTTCAGACACTGCTGGGCAGCATAGAAAAGGGCAACTTCTCACAAGGACACAGCCTGAGGGGTTCAACCACAGGTTAAGCAGCTTTCTGGCTGGGAACAGGTATTTTGAAGGCCAAAAGAAGAGAAACCCCCACCAGCAGCAGAAGAAACCAGAGTGGAGGCCGGCACGTACCCAAGCAGCCCGTGTTATTAAACTTTTACCAGTCTTTAAAGCCTGGCTTTGCTGGAATAACTGGCTGGAGCGCATGTTTGTGTGCGCAGGAGAAAGAAATCTCACTGCAGGATACAAGAGAAACAACACTTAACATAATAACCCCCTCTTCCACCAAAACCGCACCGTGCCACATTAAGCCGCTGCTGCAATCGGGACCGTAAATCTTCCAAGTACAAAGGGTCAAAGCCAGAGCTCCCAGCGAAGGAAAGTCGCCTCTCTGCGGGGCCGTCCCGCGCGATGGCCGCTAATGACACGTTACAGGCCTAGCTGAGCTGGGCCATTAAGGGCGGCTTCTCCTCTGCGCTGGGAGATGCTGCTTCTGCTTTGGAGAAGGTTCCTCCAGGATCTGCCATCAGCAAGCGAAGCTTATCTCTGGATTCGCTTAGGGACAGGGTTTAGTGGTGGGATGGCAGTGTTAGGTTAACGGTTGGACTTGATGATCTTAAAGGTCTTTTCCAACCTCAACGATTCTATGATTCTATTTCTAAAGGTGCCGCTTGCTTTAAATGAAGATTTATTTTTTTTTAAAATGAATGATTTTGAATGGAGGTGAAGCAATCCCAAGATGCCTCCAGGCTGGAGTCAAATGCAGCAGAGAAGCAGAGCTGAGATGCAATTCAGGTAGGGCACCGAGAAACACGCCACCAAGTTAATGCTGTATTTCAGCACTGGCCTGAAGAGTCTCCCGCTAGGAAGAGTCACTCTTCCAGCAATAAAATCCCTCCCCGAAGCTGAGCTGATGGGGCACGACCCCTGCGCTCCACAGGCAAACAACGTGGACGCACCAAGCGGGCGACTGCAGGCTGGGAGGGCGACGGCAGAGGGGCCCCCCCAGCCCAGGAACGGCGCCAAGCCCGCGCTTATAGGGTATAAATATAAAATATGTTCTCGGGCCGCAGATCCGAGCGTGCAATTTCGAGGCTATTTTAGAAAGGGAGACGTAAACAAAGAGGCTTTACGCTCCCCCCTTCACCTCAGAGATGAATAAATGCATTTAGGAAAATTAATACAGGGAGGCAGAGCCCTCCGTAACCCGCCTTACGCCGTTCCACCTGGCAGCTGGGTCTCCGTTTATCGCTTTCCTCCGGGTTTTCCCCTTCCACCAAGGCCAGCAGGACCTTTGCTCTCCCAGGAACGGGGACAAACGTTGCTCAGCTCAGGGGCAAATCAGGGTTTGAAACTGAACATCCTCAAATCTCCCAGTTTGGGTGAGCAGGAGTGGTTTTGAGCATCTAGGGCAGATAGGTGGCTCGTCTTTTGCCCTGCAGCCCAGGGCAAGGCTGGGGAATGCACAAACAAGCAAGAGAAACATGAGGCCCTCGGGCAGGGAAAGATGTCCTGTGGGTGAGGGCAAGCCAACATTATGGGTTTGGTATGAAAATTGCAGTTTATTCGAATAACAGGGCGGCTGGGCACAACAGAGGGGGTTTTTCGAAGCAGCCGCTTCTCTGCCCCCAAGGGTCTACGGCTTTCGGCTACGAGGGGCCCCAAGTTACACCAGGGGAGCGGTTGTCCACCCCACAGCAGGAGCTCACGCCCTCCGGCTGCGGTGTATTTTTATGAAGCTCCCGAACTAGCCATTTCATTTCAAGGCTCATTTAAGATCCATGTCCCAGGCAGGCTGCCGAACGTTAAAAATAACGAGATCCCTCCCTGCGCAAAACCCAGCCGGCGGGTGAGAGTAAACACGGCTGCAGCCAGCAGCGAGGGAAGCCGGGGTTTGCAGAGCGGGGAGCGGCGGGGGAAATAGGGACAGCGTTCCCACGCGTGGTCTCCAACGTAACCCTTCGCCGCGTGCAAATGCAGCATCGCAAAGGAACGGGCTGCCGTACTCGGAGGGGTGACATCCAGCGCTCCCCGCTGCTCGCAGGACGCCCCTCTCATGGGCACAGGAGCAGCCCATCTGGATTTATCCTGCCCAACGGATCCTGGCCTCAATGGAGAGCACTCCAGCCACAGGGAGGACTGCGATTTGCCTAACTCCGGCTCCACAAGCCAGGGAACCCGAGCATTAACCACCCCTGGCTGCGGGCAGTTGAGCTCCATCCTTGATCTTTGCGCGTGCCCGATGGTCCTACCTAGCACAGCGAGGAGATGGCAAACGCCAGTGCCTGTATAAAATGGCTTTTAGGTTATCAGAAATGTCAAGTTACATAAAAACAGATGGTAAAGAGCAGCCCTGACAGCCCCCACCGGAGGGAGGGTGAAGCCCAGCCCAGCCCTGCATGGTACAGCAGGTATTAGTGCTGTGCTCGCTCCTTCCCCTTCACCAGACAGGACTGATAGAGAAAAAGTAACTCATTCGGAGGTTTTTTTTATTAGCAAAATGGGCTTTTGATACAGACAACTCACACGTCTGCAGAACCTGTGACACGCTCTTTCCCGAGCGCTACCCTACTCATAACCAAACCCCGCAGTGGCCTTCCTGGCACGTCCTTTCCGTCCCCCACCACAGGGCTAATACACGAGGAGTCATTTTGGGACCAAGGCTGCAGCAGAACCACCTCCCGCAGCCGTCACAAACCGGTCGGGGTAGGATAATCCCCTGCTTCTCCCCCATTACACCTACGCCTACGCAGCCCTCCAGGGAAGCCCCTTGGTACACCAACAGCCAAGTCAACGCCAGGAGCAGAGCTGTGGCAATCTGGCACCCGTTGCGCGCCCATTTGCATTTTCTCCCCCAAATCTTGCCAGCTCCATCCCCTGCTTCTGATCCCAGGATCCCTCCAGACAACTGCACCTTGCCCTGAAATATCTTCAGAGACCTCTGGGGAAGGAGGAAGAGGGGGATGGATTTATTTTTCAAAGTTTCATGTGGAACACGGCAAAGAATTGGGGAGGATTACGGGAGTGGGAGATGCGCTGATGCAGACAGGATGGGTGGGGACTTTATGGGTTTCGAAATACCCAGAGCCTTTCCAAGCAGCTCTGCTATTAACGCCCAGTGTTGTTGCACCGGGGAGGGGGGGAAAAAACTAAGGCTGCAGAAGAAACCGGAGAAACCATGGATGCTTCGGCCAAGTCACAGCAGAATAAATCACGCCGGCTTAGCTGCTTTGTTAAGAGCTGAGCAAACAGCGGAGCCCAATAAAAGGCTGCCGTTGTCATCGGCAGCGTTAGTAAACAGTGGACTTTGAAGCAAGGAGCCAAAGGTTTCCTCACGTCTGTTTGTGCTGCGGGTTACACACACGTCTGAGCACCCAGAGGTGCCAGAAAATTCCCAATGCCTTTTATGGAATCATGAAACCAGGACCTCCAGGGGGACTTCGCACAGGTACATCCCCAAGGCAGGCGAGATCCACCAGCGCTAGGGTCCTCAGCAGTTCTGCAGCCACGCCAGCGAGCCAAGGCTCAGGCTGCATTTTGCCGCATCCTCCGCTGCGGTGCACAAGGCTCTGGGGACAGAGGAACCTGGTCCAGCCTGTAGAGGACACCAAGTCGCGTCTGCAACCTGAGCGCACTCAAAAAAAAGCTGTGAAACCCTCCCTGAGGTTTTGCTGCTGTGGTTCGATGTTCACAGCCCGCTTGCCCACTTTTAGCCCCTTCCAGCCAAGGCTGTGAGCCCGACCTCCCAGGTAAGTGCAGTCAGCCACCAGAAATTGATACCAGCGCAGTGATTTTTCTTTTTTTTTTTCCCCAAAGACCTGCTTGGGGAGCACAAGCTGGAAGTTGAAGAACAACAAGTGCACACAAGCACAGCCTGATATCAAAGAATCCCAGACTGGCAAGGGTTGGAAGGGACCTTGGGAGCTCACCCAGTCCAACCCCCCTGCTCAAGCAGGTTCTCCTAGAGCATGTTACACAGGACAGCGTCCAGGTGGGGGTTGAAGATCTCCAGAGAAGGAG